TACTTATATTTATTATTATATATATATATATATATATATATATATATATATAAATAACTAATTTATTTATATTAAATTTTAAAAGAAATCTGTAGTCTTCCTCGAATAGGCAGAAGCATTGAATTGATTCATTTTTCTCACCACCAAACCAAAAAAAACTTCGAAGCGTATCTGACAACATTGGTTCTACCTTCTATTACCACCGTTAACATATCAATATAGAAAAAAAATAGAGTCATGAGGGGTCCATCCATACGATTAGTTGATTTTTTTTTGTTGAAACTTGAAAGGCACCCCCACAATAAAGGACATGAGAAGCAATCAACTATAGAACCGGTCAATTCTGCGAGAATTACTCTAGAATCGCCCGGTTTTTATGTTTTTTTAAGTTTTTTCTTTAGGAAAAACTATGTGCAATAAGTAAACAAATGCGGAAGTACCCCGCATGATCCATATTTTTTTAAAATTTTACACCTAGGTAATTTTTTATTTTTCAGTTTTACCCCTGATTTGATATTGGCAATATTGGTCCACCTTTGTTTTTTTTTTTTTCTTGTTAGCAATCTTATGAGCTTTAATGTTTAGAAAAAAAATCTTAGGAGCCTTATATATTTTTAGAGCAATAAACTCCTTGCTTGGAGAGAATTCTAGAACCGTAACCCTATAACCAGGAAACCTGGATAAACCCGTGTCAATTCTCTACAATTGGCAAATCGTAATTTTTTTCAATCTTTTAAAACCCTGGGCAAAACCCTTAGGATGAACATGCCCTAAACATTCTTCAAGAAAAGAAAAAAGATTGACGTAAACAACCTGGGATCTGATATAGACACCAACTCTAGATCTTTGGGTGTACCTAGTCAACCTAAGTAGGTAAGTTTTCTTTCTTTTCTTTTATTTAATTTTAAGTTAAAATAAATTTGAATTTAGTTTAATTTTAGTTTTAGAGGTTTTGTTATGGTTATGCCAGCGGTTCTCAGATAATGGTGATCTTTCGAGATTTAGATTATTTTTTATCATAATTCGATGGACCTTATATAAATTTGGGGAGATTTTATCTGAGATCTCTTCATAGTTGTATTGTAAACACACAACAAAATATAAACACACATCAAAATAAAGGTGATCAATAGTTAGAATAGTTGAAAAAAGTCTTTCTTTTTGGTTAGCCCAACCATAAGAATCTAAAATCAATTGGGAACCACTCAAGCCCAAGCAAGATTCTTACAAAAGGTCTTTATTAGCCCCCCGTTTGTCCATAATAATTTGATACCACCCTAATTTAAATTTACTTGGTAAGCGTGTTCTCCAAACAACATGATAAATGTAAATGTCATTTCCAACGCCATAAGGATCTGGGTGAACTTTCTATGCGTACTCATATGTACATAATGACATCATGACCATATACACCTTGAGGAATATGGCAGGATTAATATCGTCATGATAACATCATGACCATATATATCATAAATGTCAAGTGAAATGGTTTAAACTTTGGACGGTGATAAAGGCAAATGGAATGTAAATATAAATTGATGACATGCTCAGTGGGATCCAATCCCCCTATCTGCCATTGCAATCCATTGATGGCACATTGATAACCTCATGCCATGTTGAAGTCATACCATATGGATACATCATAATGAACCCCTTTCAAAAATTGGTTTTTTTTTTTTTTTGGGGGAGCGGATGGGGGTAGTTCAATGGTGGGAATCAAACTTAGGATATGGTGTCCCAATTGTATTATTATCATTAAAGTTTTTTTTTTAAGTAATTGAGATCGGTTACATGAATCCCAGTCCATTTTGCTCTATCAAATGTCATATCTTTAGTGAGGTCATAAGTTTTCATATCTTTTCTTACTACATGCAATCGTATCATAATATATTTTCCTCGTTTCTCTTGAATGGTATATCTTAGTATACTTTTTTTTTTTGGCTTTTACTAAGGGAAAAAAAGGGATTATATATTATAGAGGTGGCAATTGGGGCTTGTGGACCCGAGACTCGATAGATAGATTGAACCCTAGATCCAAGGGTTGGACCCGAAGGATTGGGTCCGGATCCAATAGTCTAGACCTGATTTGGGTCCAACTCCGGCTCCAGGTAGTCCATCTCTTTGTTTTTCAGTTAGATATACATTTTTTATAAAATGTAAAAATTTTGAGGCTGGATCTGGGTCCCCTATAATCAACTCAGATCCGAGTCCAGGTTCGGTGCCCTAGTATACTTTTGGGACAGGTTCCGGGTCAGACCAGGCTTGTCGGTTTTCTTTGGGCTGGGCCGATCCATTGCCACCCCTATTGTATGCAAAAAAAGATTATTGCCTTTCATACATAAAGGCACATACATCCTAATTAATTTTATGTAAATTTGGATGTCCGTGGCAGATATACTGAGACTTCGAATGCTGTGTATGGTACATCCCCTCATCACATCTCATCGTTAGAGGTAATGTGTACTTTCTCATAAAATAATGTCAATTGCATGGTCAAATTATCTTATAAAATCATTAAAAGTGTCAAATCAGCTTATTTAATATTAATATTTGTTTTAGGTTTAAATTTACTCAAGTGCCACATCAAAAATTATAGTAAAAACAACTAAATTTGCCTTTGTTAAGGATTGGGGAACCTTGAAAGAGAGTAGGACAGTTTGGTAACTTAATCCGAATTGAGTAGCCTAAAAAACGACAAAAATATCTTTACTTTTTAGAGTTACAAAATATGAATTAGGGCTTACAATGAAAAAAATGAGTTCTATTTTGCTACATCTGAACAATTAAGGGTATTTTTATTATTTAATAATTAGTACTAACCCTAGACAATTGGGTTTATCTTTGTCATTTGGTTTGGGCCACTTAAGTGGCCCTAGAATACTAAAACACCCCTAATTTTAAATTTTGATGTTATCAAACCATCCTAAATTGCCAAATTGGAATCACCATTCAGACTCAAGTCACTCGCGACAGGGTTGGAAGGCAATTTAAGATTTTTGAAAACCGAAGTAACATGAACGAATTGCCGCACTAAAAAAAGTGAATGGTTTTTAGCAATGTTTTAAAAAACGGCGAGCCAACATAGAACCACTCAACCATCTCGAAACTTGTGGATTGAGGGTCTAGGCCTAAAGATGACCAGAACTCACCTAGATTCCACCAGTTTTTTATTTTATCTTTGTTGTTTTTTTGGTGGGTTGGAGGAGACAGTGAGAAGATTCTCCACCTTGGCCACAAAGTCACTTGGCTTTTTTCCACCTTGGTCATAAAGTAACTTGACTTTGATGAATCTATGCTGCACCTTGGCGTTAAAAATCACTTCAAATACAATATCAAGAAGCAAAGCTTGTGAAACCTCAATATCCTCTACTAGATGCCTTAGTTGCTACACTGCAAATAGTCATCCATTCCTATCTAGGATCTACCTTTTCAGGATGCTGCAATGACAAATCAATGCCCTAGGATTGCATACAAACCATTAATTTTTGGACAGTTCTTAGTGTGATGTCCATTTCCATGTCAAGAAGAAATCAATTTTTGTGCGCGAGTTCATTTTTGGATAGTCGGATCTAAGTGAGAAACCGTTTTTCGAATCTGTTTCCTAGCGATTACTTTTTTGGTAGTTCAGCAGTAAAAAATGAACTTGACACATAAAATGTTAATCTCAACTGCTAACCACTAGAGCCCCCGCCCAATTCCTCATTTCCCGGCGACAAACATAAAAAATATTCAATAAGCATTCACAATCCTATTTCTTTTTCGGAAAGCACTCATCTAGTATTTTTAAGTGGATCTCAGAATTTCATATTAAGAAAATACTTCTAAGTAGGTCAATTTGCATCAGAGAGCAAATGTAAATTTCGCTTGGGGAGCATGGCACACTTGCTCGTAGATTTTTGGATAACAGTCACTTCAGACCAAAATTTTCCTAGTAGAATTTCATCATCTTATGAAAACAAAATTAAAAGAAAATATAAAACACATATTATTAAATTTATTCCCGGAAATGTGGCCCTAGCTGTAATTTTTCTTCTTTTTCAAATTAAAAATAGTAAAAAATCACCTGTAAATCACATTTTTAATAAATATGACTGCATTGATAATCCAATTTGATCACCTTCATACATTGTAACCAAACATCATAAATACATGGAATTATATTCAACATTGCCTGCTAATTCTTCACCTGAAACTCCCCACTAACCTGAGTATTCCAACTTTTCATTGGAAACTCTCCACTAACTTGAGCACTCAAATTTTTCATCGAAAACTCGCCGCTTACTTGAGCGCTTCCTGACCATCCATCCTGAACTTGAGCTGCATACTGTAAATTCCAAATGACATCATCGACTGAAGGTCGGCAAGAAATGTCTTTCGACAAACATTTCAAAGTGATGCCAATGGCTGTCTTTAAGGATTCAGTGGCACATGCATAACGGATAGATGGGTCGGCCACTCTTCTTAGAGCCCCGGGCTCCGCTGTGAAGCTTGCTTGTAGCTTTGGAACATGAGAATGTAACCATGAGAGAGAGAGAGAGAGAGAGAGAGAAGAAAGAAGAAGAAGAAGAAGAAGATGATGATGATGATGATGACTTGTATGGAGCTCCCATAACAAAATGAACTATTTTTGTAGAATCTACAGAACATGACAAAATGAACTGTTCATGTAGAATCAGAGAGAGAGAGAGAGAGAGAGAGAGAGAGAGAGAGAGAGAGAGAGAAACTCCGAAAATTCGTTAAAAAAAAAAAAAAAAGTGTACAACCCCTGAAATCAACTAGTTTTGAGAAATTTGCAAGATGCTATTTGTTATCATTGTCAATGAGTGCTTACCTTTAGTTGTTTTAGTCTCCATATAATGAACTTGCACACATAGAATGCTTGTACGATGAGACAAACAAACACACACATACATCAAGGAATCATGTGTGTTTTTTAGGAAAAGTTGCACTTGTTTACAGTTATTACCTGAATATAAAACTTGTGTTGTGGCAATATACATCTTTCCTATTCAAATTAATTAACACAAACTTCTTGAAGGTAAGACTTAGTAGCAACCATCAAGCAGTCTAATAATCTAAATTCCATCATGTTACTTTCATCATCATTTTAGGCTTTCCCCAATTAATTGCAGTCGGCTACATGAATCTTGGTTCTCCATTTTGCTCTATTAAAGGCCATATCCATCATGTTACTTTGTAAGGATGTAATTATTGAAATGAAATAAGAAATCAAATACCTGATTTCTCAACTTCTCCAATTCGCTCGGAGATATGATGGGTTTCCCCACAATAATCTCAGCTAGAATTTGGCCTAAGTTGTAAACATCTTCTTTATCCCCATCATTGGCCCTGCAAATATTGCACAGACTAAGAAACAAAGTGAATACACTACTCTTTACCATGAATATCAGTTGGTGTCAGTGTTTAAAATGACAGACTCAGGCCCCAACTTGCCAAGGTCTCGAGCCGAGGCCCCCTGGCCAGACTTGGGCGAGTCAGATTCAGACTGGGGAATTTTTAAAAAGAAACATTTAAAAATATGACAAAACAGGAAGGTGATTCCATTGTTTTTTGGGCCGAAATTGCCTGGCTCCCAAGCATTTCCAATTCAGGCAAGTCCTGAATTCGACTGCCTATTTTCTAAAAACTGGTGTGTGATATGTTGCAAATTGTGAAAAAGGCACAATAACTGAAGATCTTTCAAAAAGGATATGGTTCATATATTGCAGTCTTGAGGACTATGCAACATCAAAAACTTTCCTAAATTTAGTGACCTGAAAAATGCTTAGTGGTCATTGATTTAATGCAGATATATATATTTACATAGCTTTAAGGGTTAAGAAGGTGAAAAGCAGTAGCTACTCAAACTGACCTCCCTTATATTTAATATAGCTTGTTGGAAGCATTACAAATTCTAACTCAATGATTACCTGTACTTTTATTTTATCCATGTATCTTGTTGCATTTACATAACTTCATTGTGACAGTAAATAATTTCTTATCAACCTAAGCTTTTAATTCCTCCTACACATTCCATTATTTACACAATAAATTAGCATTTTTCTCTATGATATCTTTCTCTTTTACTTTTTTTTTTCTTTTTTTTTTTTGCGAATTGTTTAGAAATGATGCTCATGATTTATATCACAAAGAAAGATTTACCTGCCAACATCCATTGACTCCTTTTGTCCCTTGAAAGAACTTTCTGAACCCACCTGCAAAATAAGAAATAAAAAATCGAATTAACGTGCAGGTGCATGATTCATAAAGGAAGTGTCATCAGTAAAGACAAGATGAATTTTTCCATATGGAATAGTACAATAGAAAAGAGAGATCTACCTTGGCCACCATAATTTCTTCTATAATTGGCAAATTATAGCTACACAATTTTGTCATCGTATTTTGATCTAATAGAATATCTTCAATTTTCAGGTTGTTTCTATAAATGCCGGGTGTAATTCCTGTATTCAAAAATTGAAGGCCCCTGGCAACACCAATTGCAGCAGCTATCCTTTGTGGCCACTTTAATGTATCCGCTTCTCTCCGCTCTATAAAAAATTGTTTTATTAAAGTTCTATTCAACCCTAAGGAGAACCAAATGGAAAACATGAAACAAAAAAGAAAGAAACAGGGAAATTAACTTCTTGTAGTACTTAGGGAACTATAGAACTTATTGGTACTGTCCAATTTGTTTCTCGCAAAGAAGGAAACTATAGCTACTAAAGACTTGGTTGGGTATGATTGCTACCAAAAGGAAATTGACTATTATCTAAGTTTACCTGAGATATGGCTCCTTAGAGTTCCATTGTAAACATATTCAAAGACTAGAAAAACCCCACTCACGCCTGGAGAATCCTGATAATACATAAAACAGTGTCCAAGAATGCTGATCAGGTGACGATGCCTGAGATTTGAAATCAGTTCCACCCTCTGCATTATGGACTGAGGACTTTGTCGCTGCTTTAGTTTCAAACATTTCACGAGAACCATGGAGCCATCATGCAGCATTCCTCTGTAGAGCTGGAATAGAAAAAGTAGTAAAGATGTTGAGCCAAGAAAACTTACAATTCCAAGAACTCTTTAACAAGAAGGAAATTGTCCAAAGCATATACATCACCCATCAGTATGAGTAAGATCACTCAATTTAAAGACCCGAATGGGAAAAGTCATGTATAAGCTCTATCAAAAAACACATTCCCCCAGGAAGATTCAATACATCGTCTCTTTTTTTATTTATTTTGAAGGTTCATTAAGGTAAATAATGTGCTACAAAAAATACTTGTAATTGCAGCAAAATATTTGATAAAGAAAAGATGCTACCACATGAATAGATTCAGATTGCCCAATTAATCTACGTCAGTAACACCCCAAAAATTTTGCATGGCATACCTGACCCTGGGACCCTTCTCCAATTAAATTTGAAGAGTCAAAGTTATCTGTTGCATCTTCAATCTCTTCCAAAGAAAATTTGCGAAAAGGCGGAAGGCCAATTGTTCCCAACCTCACCATCTGCGGCATGGACCCTGATTGTAACAATTACATCAAAGTGTTAATATTTTAGACTAGAACAAGCAGCCTTGAGTAAGGCTAAGTATTAGCTCAGGTTAGGGTTTAATATGGCCACCATAACAAGTACTAGACAGGCACCCCTGACAATTTAATATGCTGGAGAGAGAGAGAGAGAGAGAGAGAGAGAGAGAGAGAGAGAGACTAAAAGTGCACAAATAGAATTCCAGGACAGGATAAATACAATACTAGTAGGATTTGGAGTTGGGTTTGATTGGTTATGGTGTTGATGGTTGCAACACCATGTCCTGAGTTCGAATTCTACTGCTGAACTACCCACAAATAAATTTAAAAAGTCAAAATAACAATACTAAGAAAACAAATTAAGTACAAATGAAATAAGATTAAGCTCTGAAACAATTCTGTTCAAATATGAAGAAAGGGAGTTAAACGTGTTGCTATCAGTTAAAGAGCTCAATTTAAAAAATTTGAAAGAAAATTTGAAAGAGCTCAATTTGAAAATTGCTAAATGGAGTGATAACCTTACTTGAATTCGGTGTCAGTCTTGGCGAAAGACTCATTGAAGAATTCACAGCCTCAGTCTTCTGAGATACCAGATTTTCTCCCTTGTTTACCCCCATTCTTCTTAAAATCAACAATACTGAAAGAATAAGCATCACCAGTCCTCCAACTATTCCTCCAAGTATGCTCAATATGAGAGCCAAATTGCTCTTTGATTCCTTCTTTTGCACATGGGGCATAATGGCAGCCAAGGCTTCATTTTGGCAAAAAGAATATGGATGTTGATGCTGGTCACTGTTCACTAAGCAATTTCCACCATATAAAGAAACCATGTTTGTCAATTTGGCTTCAAGGCAAGAAGGCAATTTCCCAGTCAAAAGATTATCAGAGATGTCCAAATACTCAAGGGCTTTGTTGCAAGATAGGTTTTGGACAAGGGAACCTGTCAATTTATTCCCAGCTAAATTAAGATATTGAATCGAAGTCAGGGAAAACAGTGACACCAGAATTGGCCCAACAAGCTTATTGAAAGATAAGTCTAGCCTTTTTAACTGAGCATAGGACCCAAGCTCTGAGGGAATGTTAGCGCTAAAGGTGTTATTTCTCAAGGCAAGAGTGACAATATTCTTCCCAAGAGAAGGAAACTGAGGCCCGAGATTATTTTCTCCCAAGTCCAATACTTCAAGTTTAGATAAACCACCAAGATAAGGCACATTGCCTGATAAACTATTTCTCGATAGATTTAACAACCTGAGGCCCTTTGAGGTCCCTAAAGAAGAAGGAATCAACCCATGAATCGAATTGTCACTCAAACTCAGGACAGATAAGTTCGAAGGCAAATTTACCCAGTTGGGGAAAATATCATTGAGTATGTTATCATCGAGGATCAGAGTCTGAAGGTTTGGGATTGATGAAATTTCCTGAGGTATACCCCCATATAGAAAATTTGAGCTCATGTTGAGTACTTGAAGGTTTGAAAGGCGATCAATTTTTCCGGGTATTTCTCCCCATAAACCCAAAGACACCAAGGAGAGAGCCTGCAGATCCGAGAACTTAGAAAGAGTGGTGAAAAGGGAATCCATGGAGAAACCCGATGACAATGACTGATTTGAAGAGGCAAATTTAAGGTTTCCTTTTGAGAGGAGAGTTGGTGATCCTTTGTCTCCAACAATATGCAATTCAGTTACTCGACTATTTGAGCAAATAACAGTAAGATTCGAAGTGGGTGGAATGTTGCAAAAGTATGTCCATCTGTTCCAATTGTTCAAGGCCAATGGGTACTCTAGGATTCGCTTAATTCGAAGAAGTGATTGAATATAAGAAGTTTGCAACTGACCATTGGATGGAGGAACAAGAAAGACAACAAGAAAAATGGAAATTTGGAAGAGTATGGGAATGTACAAATGGTGCTTATCTTTTGCCATATTTGAAGACACAGTCTCAAGATGAAGAAATCACCTGAACATTACTCGATGGGAAAAGAGGAAATACTAATTTTTTTGCCTTTTCTGGAAATCTTTTCGCATAGTGAAAGAAATTTTTATTTGCTTTATTCTAGAGATCACATATATAGGAAAAAGTTGTGAAAAATGGACAGATCCGCATCTTAAGGCATAAAGTGGAAAAGAAAGTAGCTAAATAAGTATGAAAAGTGTTCTCATATTCATAGATGCCTACATGAAACCAACAAAATGGAACTTGAAACAAGCTAAATCACAATAACCAGTACCTTCTTCTGCAACTCTAAGGAAGCTTTGCTTAATATAGGAATAAAGATCTCAACAAGAGGGCAGTCAATTGGAGCATATACAAGCAGTAAAATGCATAAATTCCACTTAAATTCAGCATTTTTTTTCGCACACAAAAAAAAAAAGATCTTCAACTCAAAAAAACAAAACGGAAGCCAAAAAGTCCTCGTTTTAGCCAAGTGAAAGCAAACAAGCTTGATAATGCTTAACTTCCACTTTCTCAGTTATATCTCTCTGATTTTGAGCTTGAAAAAAAAAATAACAGCAAATATTTATATAACAAGCAGTGTTTCACTAAGTTGTTCAGTAATGAAAGATCTTCACTTCTAAAACAAGCTGAAAAATCTACTAAACAATGGAAAGTCGTCACTATTACAGGGAGCTAAAGCAAGGTGGAAACTCTGAAAAACAATGGAAGATCTTCCCTTTACAGCAAGCAAAGAAGAAGCTGAAAAACTCTGCTAACTATGCAAAGAAAACACCATACGATCAGTCATGGGATTACAGTGGCTTTCAGTTAAAAATGGATAGGTTTCCTTGAAAGATCATGGAAGAAGCTAGATCAAGCTGAACAATGAAGGATCAGTACTTTCTTTCCTCCATTTCTTCAAAAACATGGAGAGGACTCTCCTCAGATCACAAAATGGAGGCCAAAACAAGCTGAACGGTGACTACAGAGGAGAACACACTGGAGATAACAGTTCTTGTGGGTACCATAAATGTTGCTAAAAATGGCAAAAAAACTCCATTTAAGGTCACATAAGAAGCTATATAAGGCAGAAGAAGACATAACCAGTGCCTAATTTTCTGCCATTTCTGAGAAAACTAGTACTAAACAATGGAACATTTCCCTAAAAAATGGTGAAATTCATGGAAAGAGAAGATGAAAGATTTGTCCCAAGAGCTCAAGAAAACCAAAAGGTTATAAAAATAGACCTTTTAAACTCTGAAAAACATAACTATTTTTTTGCTCTGAATGAGTGGATCCATGAGTGTGTAAAAAGAAAGATTTTGCAGGAGTTTTGGATAAATGCCACTATTTCTTTCATAAATTTTCAATACTAGCCATTACTTATTATTAATTCATTTAAATATGAAGTAGATAGTAAAATAAGGAAAAGTTCTATGGCTTGAGTAACGTATACTTGGAGAATGGAGACCAGTCATCGACTGTTAATCCTCAGAAATGAACGGTTGATATTAGATGTTGAGGCGCTTTTAAATTCGTTAATGGAAGAATATCGGCTCATCATCACTGTTCATTGATGGTGACAGACCGTTGAACGCATTATGTGCACAATATGCTGGCCCAAAATGCCTCGTTGTGGGGCCTCATGCGAAAGCGGTATATTTTTATTTTTATTTTTTTTATTTTAAAGTTTTTTTGTAGAAAAAAGAGCGAGATAACAAAAAAACACTATTTATCTTCCCTACAAATTGGTCACAATTCTTTATAACCGTTTGATGTGAAATTTGATAGGTGGGATGTGTTATAAAGTTCGATAAAATTTCTTTTGAAGTTCAAGCTTGGTCAATGGAATAATTGTAGCTACTCAATTTCACATCCAATGGTCAAGATTAATGTGACCGCCTTATATAAAGGTAAAATTGTCTTATTATATACTTTTTTATTTTTTTTAAAGTGAATGGAAAGGAAAAATTTTATATAAAACCGAGGCTCTAAACAATCAAATTAGAGCCCACTGCAAAAAGTTCACTAAAAAAAGTTGTTTTGATATCCAAATATCATCAAATTGATCATCTCGACATCAAGATGCATGAACATTATAAAAAATGGATTTCAAGTTTTGAAAATAGTACATCACGTAACATATTTTTGGACTTTCAATTTTCAAGATTTTCAAGTTTTCATAGATCTGCTTAATCTACGCTAATTTTGAAACTTTAAATTTTATACTTGAAAATAAAAATATATATTTTAAGACTATCACAAAGATTTTCAGTATTGAAACCATATTTCTCGACACTATTTGAAGGTGGGCTTCACTTTGATTGTTTAGAGCCTCGGCTCTATACAAACCACACCCACGGTACAAAGCAAAATAGTTTGATAGGGATGCAGCCATATATCAAAATAAGTAAATCTTCCCGTCATAACTCATTGAAAATTGCAAGTCAAGTATTAGAAAGCCTTTACATTGATTGTGTTGACTTGAACATTATGGTTGTGGAAAAAAATTAGGATTTTAAATTCTAAAGATAGTGTATATTGCAATAAATTATCTAGGCTATCATTTTTTTAAAAAAAATAAGTGTTCAAGGTTTGCTCCATTGTTTGAGTATAAATTTTTATGAGGAATGAGGTGAAGCTTTATTTTATTTTCATAAAGCCGAGGCCATGTAGAAACCTCATCCATTACCTCAAAGGTTCGCCAGACTTGAAGAATCCCAGGATACATGGTCATAGAATGTGAAGAAAGAATAACAAAAGAAAACTGAAAGTAATACATGCCGAATGAAACATATTGGGTTTAGGTTCGGCAATGGGCCATGTCGTCTAACCCGACCCTAAAAAACTAAACACTGGGCCACAAGATGTGCCCGACGGCCTGGACATGGCCGTACCACCAAAGCTTGGGGGTCAAAACAGGTTGGTCTTGACATGGAGGATGGCCTAATCAGGCTAGAGGCACCCTTTTCTGTTATTTTCTTTCATTTTTTTTCAAAATATATTTGTCGTGGCTAGGTTAAGGATAGACAAAAGTCCTCTTCGACCCGATGTGAGCCCAGCAATGCTCTGGCTAGCGACTAGCCCTACAGGGACTAGGGCCATGCAAGGGCCAAGGCTGAGCTTCTATAGACCGGTCCAGCCCTAACTAGGTATGTTATTAAAACATACAAGAAAGATAATGACTCCATCAGGCCATGCCCTAGTTGAATCCGGATCTAACCCTTGTTGAACCGGACCCGATTGAGCTCAATCTCAATCAAGTAAACCCAACCAAATTACCACCTTAATTAGTAACTAATACAAAATCTGAGTATATGTAATTTAGATGGTGTACCTTTTTAAGCTTTCTTTTAACGACCAAGTCACCATCGGATTTTTGTTGTTAAAACTGTGTTTGGAAAAGAACAACACTACGATGTGACCTATTGGTAACTAACTTGGTGTGATCTTATGAGCCTATGGAGCATAGAAGTCTTGATGCCCTTGCACATCACTGCCGTCCGATCTACGCAAGGTCTAGTCTGGATGATTATGTGGGGCTTTGGCAAATATTAGAGTTTATATTTTCTATAAAATTTTTAGAAATAAATAATAATTAGGACTCTTTTTTTTTTTTGGAAACATATCTAAAATTTTTGAAATCTACATATTTAATTTATGTGATGGTTCATATCTTTAAAAAATATACGTTATAATTTTATTACAATTATGATGCTCGAAGGCATTAAGACACTATTGATGTCGTGAGACTCATTAATATTGATAGAGAGTGTCACAACACCAGTTCATTATATATCAATAAGTGTGACGATACTATTAGTGTCACGATATTGTATTGATATTAGTGAATATCAAGGCACTAACAATGTCGTGATAATTATAATGGCACTAATAGTGTTGTGATGTCTTTTGGCCATCAAGGGGCCCTTCGAACATCATGGTTTTAATAGAACCGTTATTTTTAGGGAAAAAATATAAACCATGTGTATGGGTATGAACATAGATTTCAAAAAAATTGAATATGTTTCAAATTTTTTGAAAAAATAAATATTTTGATAATTATCCCAGTAAGTTTTTTTTTTATTCACGAGTATCACTACAAGGAAAAGTGTTTAGTGCCCTGACTCACAAACGTCCATCTTTAAGGTGAACTTCACAACTAAAGATTCATTTCCAATGGATAGGAAAAAAATTTAAAAAGTATTTTAAAATTTTATTTTTATATTCATGATCATGGATTTCTACAAGTTTGAATCCAAGATCTATAAAAAATGGGTGTTAGAGAGAGCCCGCACAAGAATAGTATGAGCCTTGGGACTCATAAAAACAGGGCCCATCACTACAATGCCATCTTTTCATTACTTTGTCATTTTAAAAGTTAGTTTTTGCTTGTATTAATGCTTTTTATTATCACTGTGGCTCCTCCAAGCAAATTCTAATGTTTGTGCTGAAAAGATGGTGATGGACACAAAAATGGCAATAATTTTGCTTGGAATTATGCCTTTGGGAATTGGGATGCCGTTTTTTCCACTTGGAAGTAAAGCAACAAGACAAATTTGATGAATCTACTTTATTATAAAATTCCCTAAATAAAGTTGACACAAAAGCCAAAGATTGAGTCTTTTATGTGGGTTGTTTAGAGGGCATATGGTGCTCCCGTGGGAGCACACAATACATTTATACCCTCAATCAAAAGGGTTGCGTAGGAGGATTTTTCAATATGAAATTTGAGATCCATTTTGGAAAAGGCGGATGAGTATTTCATAGAAAGAAGAATTGTATTGTGTTATTAAATACTTAGATCTACCCATCTAAAAATTTGTTCATTCTCGAGGCTACTTTTTCAGAGCACATATATAATCGGTTTTTCATTTTATGTTTTTAATTTTAAGAGTTTTTCAACATACTCGTACTCATGCCCATGTAGTTGAGCCCAAATAATTGGGATAAGACTCAGATGATGATGATGATGATTTTAAGATGATGATTTTAAAATTTTTTGAATCACATATTCAATTGATCCATATTTACCGATTCACCGATGACTCCAACAACGATTTCGAGTTTTAAAGCATTCATCCAAATTATAGCGTCCGCACATGCCAAATTTAGAGTCATAACGAATGAATAGTCTTCCCTTTGAAAGTAAGAGTTGGGGGGATCCCTAGATTGAGAATCCAAAGTTAAAATATTAAAATTCCAATAAAAAAGGCTCAATGCATGTGTCTGACGCATAGGGTACACTAAGATTCAAAACCGAAGACTATAGTATGTTAATGTTACTGCATTTGTACAATATCCTTGAGTCAAGCTCCCAAACCCCCATAAAAAGTATTAAATATTTTGCAAACCTATATCAAAAGCCTAAACGATCATTCTCATTGATATAATCATGAAATTATAAGCAGCACCGACAGCATGAAAATACAAAAAGAAGAATTAAAAATATGAAATATTTTAGGACTTCAAATTACACCAAGGGACCTATTTGAAATAAGATTTTAAATATTTAGTACTTTTAGCCTTGCATTGATCTAGTCTTGGAACTTAATTAAGAGTTAGAAAGCTCAATAAATGCTAATAAATGCCAATAGGACAAATGACTAAAATTATTATCTCGCATAACTATACCACAGTGTCATTTATCTCAAGTACGGAAGTCATTATCACTGCTAGTCATCAAATATGAGAGGTGCAACGTGTTATTTCTCTGCACAAAATCTGATGAATTTTTTTTATTAGTTTACCAGACCAATTAGTTGCACAAATTCAATCCTCAAATTTTTTATCTAATGATTAAGAGTGACAGTGGTCATTTTTTTTCCAAATATGAATGGTTTTATTGTAGACTAAGATATCCCATCCAATAGAGAAGTAATAAATTATATCCAAGGGAAAAACCTTGTACCCAAGTTTTTTGACTTTATGCCACTTACAAAGCAGAGAAATGACACCCCTCCAATGGCCTAATTTCACACCTAATGGTTATGAGTGGTTGTGCCTTCTTTGCAACAACAAAGATGAATTGTGTACTTTTCCTTTACCTTGGTGATGGTATATTCTACATAGAATTACATTAATATACCTCTAAATTATTTTTATTGAAATCTTTTACGTTCATACTTCTTTTTTCATAAATTTTATATTTTTTGAAATTGCCCCTATTCAGATCTTGAAGTTCGAGATCTTTTCTACTTATCATCTTATTTCAGATCTACAAGATTTGAAGTTGATCCAAGTATCAACTTTGGACCTTGAAGGTTCAACGTAGATACAATATAAGAAAAAAATAAAAATTTTCAAAGAAAGAAAGAAAGTATGATCATAAAATAAA